AGCTGATTTGGATCGATAGTTATCGAGAAAATTAACGTTAAAGTTTAAAAAAATTTAACGAATTTTTTGTTATATATTGTTAGTAATCACTAACGATAATAATCGGCAGAAGGTTGTATATCGATTGTAATCTAGGGGATTACTATCGATATATAACACCTTTTAAATTTTGCTGATGATTCTAAGCATATAATAGTTATGATTACAATTTTGGCTAAAGAATCTAACTAATCTTATTAGCTTACAATATGTAAACTGCTTATCTCTTAAATTTATAATATAAATATGATAACTTTGTACTTATCATCCAGATATGCATTATGTATCAGCACTTTTTCAATATGAAAAAGAATTTGCAATAAAATTCTATAATATTACAATATTTGTATTTATGGATAACAAATACAAATATAAAGTAGAAGAGCTAGAGTTCTTTGTTGTAGCTCATATGCTCTGATTTTTGGAATTTAAATTAGGTTTTTTAGGGTTTGCTTTTTTTAAATTTTAAAAGCAAATAACTTTTAATCTTCAAGTTTTTAAAAAATAATTTTATTATTTTCATATTCACCTCTTTATTACGATACTAACAAGTCCAAAATCATCCAAATCTAATTACAGGATCAAGAGATAAAGCTATGGTCAAATAAGGACACACTTCATATATCAGACAATTGGTTAGATTAGGTCTAACCAATTGTCTGACATATAGAGTGTGTCTTTATTTGACTATAGCTTTATCTCTTGATCCTGTAATTAGATTTGGATGATTTTGGACTTGTTAGTATCATAATAAAGAGGTGAATATGAAAATAATAAAATTATTTTTTAAAAACTTGAAGATTAAAAGTTATTTGCTTTTAAAATTTAAAAAAAGCAAACTCTAAAAAACCCTAATTTAAATTCCAAAAATCAGAACATATATATAGAAATAGAAAAACATGTCATTGTTAATAAAGATAAAACTTTTAGAGTTGGAGACTATGATTATATCAAAACCAGAATCGTGCCAAGTATTTTTATGATATGCACTATTCCAGAATCAATTAATGATAATTTTATATAAATCAAGTGTGTATAAGTCTAAAAGATTCTATTTTTTAATCTTCATCACCATTGTGATATGCAACTAAGCTGTATAATATTTTAATTGATAAAAATATTAGTGATAAATCTATATTATGTCTTTATATTGATGGTAGTCCCAACCACTGTTGTATATTTGTACAAATACAAATTTTATATATTTGTTTTTTTAGTATTGGATCTCGATTATTTTATTACTATAAGAACTCTACTGCAATACTTATAGAAAAATCCTGTTGAATATGTAATATCTACCTTTAATTTTGGATTACAAAGTGTTGATCTAATATACAGCAAAATGAATGATAAGTTAGAAGTATTAATAAGCAAAGTGGGTATGATAAATAATATTTGTAATATTGCAAAAGACTATTTTATCTTGAAAGCTGCATTGACTAAGAGTATCTAACAACTAATTAATTTTGTATGCAATATATTTGAATATCAATTTTTAAAAGTGTACTATTTCAAACTTTTGATATAACAATAAAGAAGGAAATTAAATGATTTTAGAAAAAAATACTTTTAATTGATGATTCAATATCTTGAAATAATTATACAGCTAAAAATATAAAAAATAGAGTAAATATTTTATTAAATACTATATTAAATCAAGACAAAATAAGTTAGAACACTTTAAATGCACTTTATAGTAATCAAACTTTTTACAATATACATTAAAAGAACAAAAAATAAGCATTTACTGTATAGAGGTTAGGTATATATTTAGATTAAAATTTAAGAGTGCATTTAGAGATATCATGTATTTGAAAAGGTATATTTAGAGAGATTATACTATATTAAAAAAAAATTGAAAAGATATAATTAATAGAGTTCATAAAACATTGCTATATAGTATGATATTATTTTTTTGCAATAAAAAAATATGAAAAGTATGATTGCAGTAATATACAGATCATTTCATTGTTCCCAAGAAGAATTTAAACAACTTTACTATCTTCCTGATCTAGTTTCTAGTAAAGATTTCTATTATAAACTATTTGAAGAACTGTATAAAACAATTAGGGCAGCGCTATAAATCAGCTGATTTAATTTTGGCAAATATTGACCCCTCTCAATTTTAGTCAGGTCTTTATATACTTTTTATATATAATTTTAATTTTTTTGATCCCCTAGAAAATCAGCTGATTTCTGGTACTCCTCTTACAAGTGAAGAACATAGACTTTTACTTAAAGAAGCTAATTTGCAAAAATCAAGAGTAAGCAAAAAAAAACTACTATTTCAAAAGAATATTATACTATGCCATTTTGCCCTTTCGTAGCTTGAGCAAAAAATATTGATATTATAGTCACTTGTATTGAATGTAAAAAACTACATTTTCTATTTGGTACTAAAAAACTTCTAAAAAGTTAACAACAAACATTACAAAATTTTTTTGATACTATTTTATATACTTGTGAAATGTCTTTTAATGAAGTTTGTAATCTAGCAAATACTATATTGAAACAATCAGCAAATATAATAAATAAAGATATAACTATTGAAGACAGTAATAGCAAAAATGAAGATGATGAATTCACAAAACTAATTTATTTTTTTAAGGTATGTATATGTTGAATAACAGTAGTAGTAATTAAATTAAAAAATTTATTAAAATAGAATAATAATTATAAATCTGATAATGAACTTAGTAATCCAAACTGTCTCAAAAATCCTAATCTGAGTCAACTATTAGTTGAACAATAAGCCAACTAGCTAAAAATCAGTTGGTTAAGAGTCGGATCAATATTTTATATGCAAGTTTTTTTTTTTTTTTTACAAGATCAGAAAAATATAATAATGAAAATGCAAAAAACATTATTGGGTGAAAATTATATTTGCTATATATGATCCGACATCACCAAACTCTATGATACTGTATAACTTATTTAATTTGACCAAAACCTTACTTGTGTTCTGAGTTTTCTAAATTGAATAGTATTCTTTCAACACTTATAAGCATTTAAGAAAAAAAAATTAATTGCTTTATAGTAGTAGTTAGTATCTATAAAAATAAAAAATTTATTTGATGCTTTTAATTTAATTAATTTGCAATACGCTGCGTTATAATAAATTTTATATATTTATGATTTAAATATACTCAATAAAAGAATTAGAATCAACTTAATTTTAGTGTAAGTTGAAATTGAATTCTTTAACAACTCGAATTTAATTTACAATTTATTACAGCCTATGTTTACCCAAAATCAACCTACAGTAAGTTGATTCTGACATAAAACATATACATAGCAGATAAGAAAGAACCTGGAATCTAATTGCTAACAATGATATACAAATGAATCTTTTAATTCTATTGGTTTGCTGGCTGACCTATCAGTTGATCTGCCAGTTGACCCATTGGTTGACCTGCTAATCTTCACCCGATTGGTTATAATTTTACCTGGCAGCTGACCCAACCGCGGTTGACCCGGTTGATATCTAACCAGGTCAAAACATTAGGTAAACTTGAAAAAGTGCATAAAAATATGCATAAAGATATGCATAAAAAAGTGTATGAAGATGTGCATGAAGATATGCGTGAAGATATGTATAAAGATGTGTATAATGATCCTGATCTTAGAATCACAACCATGACAGAAGATCCAATCCAAAAAATCTTTGAAAAGATTTTTGTTAATGATTTATGGTCATGTAACTCACCTGTTAAGAAGCCATATTACTCTGCTAAAATCTATCCTATTATTTGCTACCAATGTAGAAATAAAGAAATTTATAAACCTGAGAAAATTGTGATTGACCATTATGTGGTAACTGTGGTGGTAATGTAATACCAAAAAAAAACAACAAAAATGGAAGCCGAACAGTCAGAAAAAGATTAATAGTTGACCACCATTTGCCAACAAATCTTTATTATTACACTTAATAGTTTATTTGTTTGGGTAGCAATTTAATTAGACAAATATTCATAATAAAGCTATATTGTTAATCTTACATATTATTGTATCGATATACATGTTGCATGATTTTGTTTACAAAGTTAATTTTTGTGGTTTTTTGAACCATGCAATTTGATTGTCTTGGGACAAAAAAAAAATCAGATTATTGCATATAATCAGACATTGCATATTCACGTAATATTTGTACATACCATAAAGCCGGGGATCTAATATATATATTTTTTTATATAGAACCTCTATGTGAATGTTGCCAAGGGAAGAAGAGACTTTGGATTTCAAGTTTACCATAATTATTTATCGGATTTGTGATATATATGATATGTGGTTATATATCATATCAAGCATATATTACTATCAGATTTTAAAAAGTTGAATTCGACAAAAAATTAATGATATAATTAAAGCCTAAAACTTTATTATTCTTTGTTAATACTTATATATAAGATAGTGTTTCATGTATTCATGTAATAGTTAACATTTATATGTAATGTTTTTTTCTTACTATATCATTTTAATGACAGGCTCTAATATTAGTTTGGTTAAAAATTTTAAATAAAATTAATAAAAAAATTTTTTATTATAGTAAAATAAAACCCGGGTTGGCGGGTTGTTTAAAATTATATAAGATATATAAACCAAAAAATTTACTTTGCTTCACCTAAAGAAATGCATAATGATAAGTAAATCATTAGCGCTAATTTTGATTATTGGACCTTTTTTTGATCACTAAAACATATAAAATCTGATCAAAAATCCCCCAAATTATTAATTTTTAATTAATATTAGACAGTCAATTGACGTGTACATCACTATAAAGTGTACCCTGAATTTAAAATTTTCATATAGTTCAAGCAGCTTTAAATCTCCAATCACATGATTTCATTCACTTTTTCATTATCTTATAGTAATATTAATAAAATAAATTAGAAGTAGACCGTCAATTAATCTAAAAGACGAGCACATTCTAAAAATAATTGTAAAATATGTTCAGTTAATTCCAATCCTAATAAATTTTTATGAAATTTATATATTATATGGTCTGAAACGATGATTTAATTGGTCAAAAGAAAAAACATATACCTGATATGTTCACTTTTTTACAATTTTATAATAAAATAGCTAAAGTTTAAAAGGCTACTGCTCTATCAATTTAGCTTGAAATTTA